CAGTAGTCTCTCATGCCACATCTTACACCCAGCAACAACAGAACTGCTCTGTGGGATGTGGCCCCATCTTACTCACCTTTATCACTGTTAGCAGGAGAGTCCGCAGCACCTACAAACCTCCAGCCTCCTTCCACAAACAAACAAAAAAACACACAACAACAAAACACAGCACCAAAGGATGGCAGCCTGTCAACATGCTTACTTTAGACCCACAAAAAATCAGGGTGGGAGCACAGCAGCCAGCCAACTATAGCCCCAAAAATCAGGAGAACACAAAAATAGAAAAATAAACAAAACACACTCAGAGTCAAAGCCTAGTAGAAGCAGTCCTTCACCAAAGAGCCACGGAGAAGCTAGCGCCCAGAAAAAGAAGGCATGAGCCCAGCCATCTCCTGCTGCAGACAGAGAAGTATGAAAGGCCCAAGAATCCCCAGGACCTCCCAGCAGACTCTAGTAGCTCCCAGCACCCCCCAGAGGGGTTTAAGAGGCTTAGGGGGGCCAGTCCTGCCCTGTGACCTCAACAAGGCACAGCTGTGCTGGGCCAGCCCCAGCCCAACAGTACATGGGTGTGATTACTTCATCAGCACAGTCAGGGCTCCTTAGGGCCAGCATGGGGCACTAACAGTTATCCCAAGTCTCTTCCCCTGGGCTTCAGTTTGCCCTGACAAGGATGTCCCCATCGATGTCCCACTGCAAGCCCAATGGCCGCAGATGTCACCTCAGTGGGCAGGAGGTGGTGACAGCAGTGGGATGAAGGTTGCAGGATTAAACTGCAGGCAGAGGGAGTGTGAAGGATTTGGAGGTCGTACCGTGTGCAGGCGGGAGTTGGATTCAATGATCTGCATTAGATATTCGGTATGGTGTCACAAGTAAAACCAATTCAATGTACCATTCTTTTCCCCCTGCTTTGCACCCTATCCTCTGCTCTCAGTCATTCACCCTGAGAGAAAGAAAGTGCTGTGCAGACTCTACTCTGCCACTGTCTTATTTGTGCTATGAATGTATACATTTCAGTTGCTCTCTGTGAACCAGAAGATGCTGTTACTACTGCTAGAGGTGCAGGTTTTAAAGCCATAGACTCCTATTTTCGTTTTCCTCAAAATAACTGCTGTAGACATTCTTGAAAAGAATTTACTGGTGGTTTATAAAAATCTTTTTCACAATGTACAGGTGAGATTTAATTGCTGAACATAATGCACCGTTGTAAAACGTAAGGAGTGATGCAGTCAGGCACAGGAAGTAACATTAAATACTGGAACTACGAGGTGACAAAATGCAAAAAATCAGATCTTGCAGAAAAGAAAAGAAAAAAGTTTAAAACCAAAAATTTTAAAAAATTACAATCATGATCCACATGAAAAGGAAAGTTGGAAAAAACTTTAACTTATTCTGCTTGCCCAAGCAGTATGAGAATGGAAAACATCCACTCGTGCCGTAGTCTTGACGCAGTTTGTGCGTTTAAACTGTAGTGATGACCTCATTTTGCCATTCTCCTTACGTCCTCATAAAGCCAGAAGGTGGAATGCTGTGATCGTACGTGCTGACCTACAACTGTTGAGAAAACTGAATTTTCCTCCAACTCAGAAAATGTCACAACTGAACTTTTATTGTCTACCATTTAGACTAGGACCACATTTGCCTTGTGTCGATTCATTTTTATCATTTCTCTGCTCCTTGCATCCAATATTGTACTGTACCCTGCTCGCTGCAGTGTGAGGCAAAGGATAGTGAAAGGCACTGCGTGCCGCAGGCTGGAGGAGTCCCAGTGCTTGGTGGCTCCAGAGATGGAAGAATGGCCTGGAACAATTTCTGTTTGAAATGAATGATTCATCAGGCAGCAATCACAACCTCCAAAGCCTGATTGTTCTACTAAAAAATCTCCACATTGTTCTTTTCCTTGTGCTAGCCACGGATTCACATAAACCTAAATAAAACCCTCAAGGCGGTAACCGCTAGATCTGTAAATACACGTCACGGGAGGAATGGATTTGCTGGTCTGCTGCAATTTTGCTTTAAATGAAAATGCAAAATGGTTGTGAAATCCTCCTGTACAATTAGAAGACATGAAGTGTTAACAGGACTGCGCTTGCAATGTAAAACTCGTGTTTCCTCAATATCATTTCTTTGGCATCTTCTCAACCCCTCAGAACAGAAAAGGTTCATACCATCCTTCACGTTTTCTGTCTCTTCTGAGGCAAAAGAGAACCTTTGGGCGAGCAGCCAGTGTGTATCTACCCCTTACCAAGTGCAAGCTGTTCTCGAATGGCTGCTTTCTTATTTATTGTGAACTGAGTTCTGCTCCTGTAACTCACGTATCCCTCTGCTTGGCAACTCTGTGAGGGGAAGCAAAGAATAATTTTAAATTAAAGACCTAACCTGTTTAACACACAGCATTTCCTAATTTTCCCAATCGAGTATTACATGACAATTTTGCCAACATGTAGAACAAATTCAGAAACAGGAGGAGTGCTTTTTACCTCATAAAGCGTGAGCCAGAAATGACTTGGGAATGGTGCATTTCTACAAAAGACAAGTCCCACTCAAGTGCAGTGGAAAATCGTCATCTCCTCTTTGTGAGTGCATTCAGAAGATGTCTGTGCCCACTGCAGGAAAAGGGTCAGATGAAATGGTAATTGCTGCCGTGAGTGCGTTACTTTCTGTGTTAAGGATCGACAGATGCGATCTGCATTAATCCGAATCAGGGTGAGGCAGGCTCTTCTACAGATCCCGGTACCACTGAGAGCAGTCTTGGGCTGCTCTCATTTGTAGCCACGTGGGATGGAAGCCCTGGGCTGCAAACACATGCCCTAAGCCCACGCACCTCGTGGAGCTGCTACCAAGTTCACTCTTCTTGCTCCATGGATAGAGTGTTCCTGTACCCAGTGGCAGCTGAAATAGGAGCTGGAACCAGCATTTCAGAGCAACTAGTCTTTGGTTTGCATAGGGAACCCAGTCTTCCTCCTCTTCACATTTCCACCCAACTCACGTTAGGTCTATCCTTCCTATGTACACCTTTTTCTTTCAAAATAAACTGACTGTAATGTGATGGGTCTGTTAGTGTATCCCTACAGAGCTTCGGCTCACAGACGGGATGAGTTCGGAGAGCAGCAGCGTTCAGCAGAGCCGATCTAGCGGAAGCGATGCTTTACTGCACATCTTTCTTTTGCCACAAGATACCGTTTTGCAGCACTTCCTTTGGTTACGCTCAAGGCCACGTTACCAGAGGGATGAGTCTGAATGACCAGCAAAGGAGGCAGAAAAAGGCTCTTCTGGGAGAGAACAGTAGACTATCTAGCGTGGTTCTGGACATGCCAGTGATATTTATATTTATAAGCCAGTTTCCCACATTGTGCCACGCCACTTGAATTGCTGTGACTTCTTTTCCGATGAGCCATCAGGAAGCAAATGGCATTGAAACAATTTCACTTAGATCTGTCAGAAATGGAAAGCTAAATCATGCCCGAGCACCTCCAAAGCAAACTACCGGCAATAGAAGGCTCTATAAAGCTCTTCTCTCAAGCACGTCTTCCTAAGGGGAACAGCATAGGAAGGCAGAAAGCATACTGGAGAGCCAACGTGAGAAGCTAACATGTACAATAGTAGTTGAGGAAAAAGGAATTATTTTTGTGGGCACATTACCATGAGTAAAACTATATCTGCAATTAATGTGTCCGTGTTAAGGACTGCATGGCACGTGGAGCTGTGGCTTGTTGCTTCCAGCATTCAGTGCAACTTGATTCAACATTAACAGTGAATTACCATAAACATCCTCATGGAGGAATTAACAGTCAATTTCTGTATTCCCCCTGTTCTCGGTCATGTACCACAGGAATCATCTTAAGATCGCTTTACGTGTATATAAGGCGTACCTGCTTCAGCAATAGAATGGGAGGATTTCAAACCATTGCTGATGAGCATGTGACAGGTAGCAAAGCTTTCGGGCCTATTGGTTCATTTATTTTGGATTTCCTTCTTGCGGTAATGTTGATCAACGATGACCTCAGGAGACCCGCTATCAACTTTACAAATTCCTAAGCAGGTCACCTAAAGAAAAATAATGCCCTCTACTGTTTTCCAGGGAGCCGATTTTAGGATTCATGGTTTCATTAATCCAAAAAGTGCTAAAACAGACTTCTAAGATGCCAATGGTTGATTTTGGCACTGCGAAAACTGAGCGGAGAATTTTACATGTTTATAATTCAGATTGGCAGCTTTATATCTAAATATTGACATAATCATATGCGCTTGCTTTTCTCTCTCAGAAGCACTAAGTGAACCTTGAATCCTTCAAACTGATATCTTCTCTGATCCAATTCGACGTGTTAATGACAAGCATTTAATTTTTTCCATCTTCCAATTTAATACACGGTGACAGATTCTGTACATAATTAGGAATGCTCACCTTCAGCAGATCAGCTGCTGAGTGAAGCTTAACCGTGGTTCAGTGCTAAATGTACAGTTTTCCACTAATCTGGTGTTTATATGATTTGATTTTGTAAGTAAGGAACATGAGTTGTCGTAGCTCAGAGTAACCTTTTTTTTATGGAAAAAGGGCTACATATGGGAGTGTGGAGAAGTCAGGACACCTCCCTCTCTTTTTCATTTTCTACATTACTAGCAATTTTTTAGATCAAGATAACACGATCGCTGTTGCCATATCACAAAGAAAATGCAACATTTCCATTAGGTCAACATTGCTCCTTTCTCGTAGCTGGCTGATATCCAGAGTGGAACCGTAATGCTGTGGAATGTGAAAGACTGCTCCTCAGGGATGTTAAATGGAAGGAGTGTTTCTATAAATATCACTGTGCCCTTCAGTGTATTTCATGAAGAAATATGTTCCTTTTCATTAAAAAAAAAAAAAGAAAAAAAAACACGTGTGCATTCTCCAGATTTTTTTTCCCTGAAATTTTCTTCACTTATATTGGTTTTCCTTGAAAGATCTATAAATGTCCTCCAAGTACAACTTGAATGGCACCTCACAATAATGTAGTGCAGTACAGAAGTATTTCAGTGATACATGAAGTTAAACAGCAGGGGTTACATCTATCACTTAGCGGTTCCGTATGCCATCCCATAACCCACTTCATGTTTTAAGACACATTCTGGAAAAAAAATAGCCTTACACACTAACTATGATTATTGTTGTACTTGACAGTTATTAGTACAGAGCTCCGGACTTTTTGATTTGGAAATTATTTTGAACGTACGGTTCTGTTCACTACTGTGGAAAACATTTCGGGTGATGTCTGCTTTGCATGTTGCTCAGTGCAGCTGAGCCACGCTTTCAGCTGTGTACATCAACGTACCTTCATTTCAGATGCTACAAGACCTAAACTACAAATTAAAGATGAAGATCTTATTCATGATTTATAAACAAGCCAATATTTTCAAGCACCTTACTGCTTAAATCATCAGGCCCTCAGCTACTTTCCGCTGTTTCTCAAGACAACGAAAATTAATGTGAAGTACATCATGTAAACCAAAGACTTCAGTGCACTGTGATTAAATGCTGTGTCTGTACCGTGGGCAACAGAGTGTCTCACAGATGGTATTTTGCAATGATTTGGAAATTTGATTTTAATCAGTTTCAGCTCCATAATTTGTCACTTAATGTTTCACATTTCTTAGGAGCTAGTAATCTTTGCCGCCTTTGGATGAGAAAAAAGAAACTCAACACAGTTAATAAAATTGACTCGGTACTGACAATTTGATGCGTTTATGCTCTCCTCACCCCCTTCCAAAAGACCACATGCTGCTTTAGGCAGATTGGAAACAAAATAAATCAAACTGGTAGCATCTTTAGGTATTTTAAATACTCTTTTTTTGTCTGAAAATATCTAAAATTAACGGTGTCTTTCTTCACTTTGGGGGCTTTTTTAAACTGCGTGACTGTCTCTGCTTTCACTGTGGTACAAATTGTATCTATATAAAGGAAAACAGCAGCTGCTGTAGTTGTGCCTGCTGCCTCTGGAGACCTAATACCCAGACATGCTGTGGAATACAATGATTGGATCAAAACATATTATTCATCCCCTCCTCATCTGAAGTGGGTTCTTAAAATTACCAAAAAAAAAAAAAAAAAAAAAAAAAAAAAAAGGCACAAAGCAGTAGCATACTGGAACTAGTGGAGAAGGATCTGTGTGTGCTGCCTGCCATTCTGCGCTTTGCACACTGCTGCCGAGGTTGATATTGTGCAGAATATCGAGTACCCCAAGCACCCCAGGACGTATGAGATGCCTTCGTCACGCAGCAGCCCTTTATCGTGAGCATCGTATCAACAAAGCGTTGGAAATCATACCGCTCTGTCAGGAACAAATTTCCTCTAATCAGAAATGCTGTGCACAAAGCCACGGCAATAATGATGGCATCAATAGTCCAAGAAAAATGACCAGAAGTAGATTTCTTTGAGCTATTATCTACATTGGAAGTGTTCTGATTTTTTTGAAAATAATAACTTGAAAAGCTAAGGTGTCTGAGTCCACGGAGCAAAGTTTGCTCATGGAAGCTAAGAGAGGTGGTACAGCTGTTCTGCTACTCACATTTCTTACTCATATTTCTGAGTTTGCATATATTGTTCCTTAAACATTGGCCCTGGCATCTGCTATTCTGTACTAAATTTAGCTGCTGAAGATCAAAGAGGAGCAAAGATAATTTCTGTACCTCCTGTTCATGCATATTATTCTCCCTTCCTCTTTCCTCAGAGAGCTGACATAGGGATCTCTGCCTTAACCATCACCCCTGACAGAGAAAATGTGGTAGACTTCACAACACGTTATATGGACTACTCGGTGGGCGTGCTACTTCGGAAGGCAGAGAAGACGGTGGACATGTTTGCCTGCTTGGCACCATTTGACCTCTCCCTGTGGGCGTGCATAGCTGGTACCGTGCTGCTAGTAGGGCTGTTGGTCTACCTCTTGAATTGGCTCAACCCTCCTCGCCTTCAGATGGGATCTATGACCTCCACAACACTCTACAACTCCATGTGGTTCGTGTATGGATCCTTTGTGCAACAAGGTAAGAGACAGAGGGAACCTGAGATGACAGTCGTGCGTCTCCTATTGCCATCCTCCGTGAGGGACTGGGAGCACTGCTGAGCCATTGCTGCGAGTTTTCTAAAGCATGCAGCAGCCTGGTGTGCGAACCATGAGAAGTTTTTTGAGCACTACGTGCTAGCTTGTTTTTTATTTATAGTTGACTAGTGCTTGGAAAGAGTATTTCTCATCACCTTCTCAAAAATTATTCATCCTTAGTGTAAGTGCTATGTTCCAGAGAAGTCTGAAAATGTCAGGGTTCAGCTTTTGAACAAACTTTTGACCGGTCACCAGTGCCAAGTGATCTTACCGTGTCTCATACTCTTTCCTCCTTCTCCTGCTTTACCTCAGTTTTCCCCATATAACTCTTAGACTCAGCCAAGTTACTCTGGCCTTCCTGGATTCTTGGATTCTCCCTTCCTTCCCTGCAGCATCTAGCGTGGCCCAGACTGGTTTATATCACCAAGTCTTTCACGGTCCATCTCTTCTGCAGAGATTTAATCGTTTATCCCAAAGGCATCAAGGATGGCAGACCTTGGTTTAGTATATGCTTCTTAAAATTCTTATCTACAAATTGGAGTGATAACGCAAAGTAGAATAAGAAAACACAGCTTCATGTAAGATGGCTTAGGTGATAACACCTGACAACTGACAAAATAAAACAACTGTCTTCTGGAATTTATGCACATACTTATCTGTCAGTCCATACTAGCACTGCAGATACATCTGCTTGTAATTCTATGGGGCATCTAATCTGCAAAGAATCATGGCCACTACTTCAAAACTCACAGATATCAGATCTGTAGAAGTATTTATTCAATAAGGTAATTAGAAATTACCTTACTACCTACTAAAAAAAATCGAATGAAATTCATGACAATTGAAGATGTACACAAATGTTGTCTAAACTTATAAAAAGGGGGGGAAGCAACAACTGACACCATCACCTAGAAAAGTATAAAAGCTGCATTTGTGACTGTCCTCAAGAGGTATGTTTTTAAATTCATCAACCTAGAGAGAATAGTTTTGACATGATTATTTGCATTTAGCAGTGATGGCCAACCAAGCTAAGCTGCAAAAATTGTTTCATGTTTCTTTGGTTTCATGTTTCTGACTTCAGAGCCAGTTTAGTACTACAATAATTTTTTTAATGTCTGTGGGTGGATTTTAAAGTTTTCTTTCTGTCCAAAATATTCCCAGTGTAGCTGTTTAGGGAATCCAACTGTGAGAGAGCAGTTGGTCTGTTAGAAAACTAGACTCATTGCAGCTGTCTGCCTTTTAGTTTAAAACCTGTGAATTAGTTTCTTTACTGCGTGAATATGAGGTCATTTTACATAGGTTTATTGTTTGGCATTAGCCTTAGCATTTTCGCTGTATTCCCAACATCATTGGTCCCTAAAAGTTTTCTAGGAAACTGCCCGGCAGTGTTTTGAATGGAGGCAAAGCTAGTTTAATTGCACACTTCGATCTCATTAGTTACAATTTGAATTGTTTGCCTTAGATCTGACCAAGTCAACATGTATTGTCCAGTGCCCCAAAGTTTTCCAACTCATAGATCCAGGGTGTTAGCTTTCAAGGTTTCGACAGATGTTCAGTTAGCATATATAAAAAAGGGCTTTCGGAATTGTCAGTAAAGTGAGTGCTTGGGGAGGGCTGAATAACCACCTCAAATAAAGCACGAAGACAAAGAGGAAATTAGATGAAAAGAAATGAGATGAAATGGTGAGGAAGAAAGAATAATTTAAAAAAAAAAGAAAAAGAATTTACTAGAAAAGTAGAGAAAAATACTTTCCTCTAGGAGATCCTCATCTGTTCCCCATAGTGAGAGGACCATGGGATTTTGATTTCAGTCAGGCCAATCAGCCTCATCAACATCTCTGAAAAGATGATGGAGCACATCATTCCCAGCGTCATCTTCAAGCAAGATGACCGGAAAATAAGGTGATTGGATTAGTCAGCATGGATTTGCTAAGGGAAAATCATGCTGAACCAATTTGATAGCCTTCTAAGCTGGAATGACCAGCTGGATAGATGAGGGGAGAAGAGTGGGTGTTGTCTCCTTTGGCTGCAGTAAGGCTTTCGACACTGTCTCCACTGACATCCTTACAGGCAAGTCCAAGAAAGGTTTATATAAAAGTGGACTAAGAAGTTGCTGCATGGGACAACTCAGAGGTTTATGACTCAAAACAGCCTAGTGGGAGACCTGTAGCTAGCAGGTGCACCAGCATTCGGTACTGAGTCAGGTCTTGCTTAACATCTTCGACAGTGACCTGGATGAAGGAACAGAGCATCTCCTCAGTGAATTTGCTGAAGATACAAAACTGGGACGAGTGGCTAATACCCCTGAGTGCAACCGGAATGAGTGGCTGATCCCTGTGAGCGCTGTGCTGTCATTCAGAAATATGTGGACAGGATGGAGAGATGGGCAAAAACCGCTTGAGATTCAACAAAGGCAAGCACAGGGCCTTGCACTTTGAGAGGAATGCACCAGCACAGTCTTGGCGCTGACCCGCTGGAAGGCAGCTTTGTGGAACAGGACCTCCTGGTCCTTGGGGACGCCCAGTTGACTATCAGCCACCGATACGCCCTTGTGTCCGAGAAGGCAAATAGTATCCCAGAGAGCATCAGGAACACTGTCGCTAGCGGGTTGATGGAAGGGATCCGTTCCCTCTATTCTGTCCCAGTGAGGCCTCGGCTCGCAGTGCTGTGTGCAGTGCTGGGCTCCCCGGTATGAGAGAGAACATGGGGCTGTCGGAGAAAGACCAGTATAAGGATACTAAAATCATGAAGGGACTGGGGTATTGCTTATATGAAGAAAAGCAGAGAGATTTAGGCCTGTTCATCCTGGAGAAGACTGAGAGGGGATCAGATTAGTGTGTCTTAAGGGAAGGTGTAAAGAGGATGGACTAGAGTCTTCTCGGTGGAGCCCAGCAACAGTGTTAGAGGCAAAGAGTGCAACCTGAAACCCGGGAGTTTCCATCTTAACGTGAAGAAAAGCTTATTTACTGTGAGCGTAACAGAGTGCTGACACAGGCTGCCCAAATAGGCTGTGGAGTCTTCTTCCCTGGCGATCTTCAAAACCCACATGGAGCTGGTCCTGCGCAGCCCACTCTAGGTGTTCCTGTTTGAGGAAGGGGATTGGACTAGATGTTCCCCTGAAGTCCCTTTCAACCTGAACCATTCTGGCTGTTTCTGTGTCTGTGTGATTACTGAAAGCCGCTGGCTTTTACCCATTGGTAAATCATGATTAGTAATAGCTGCTGGGACACGGAGACTCAAAGCACTAAAACTGTTGTGAGACTTCAGAAGAAAAAAATAATAATTCACAAATATTAAAAGGTGTATTGCATTTATTTAGAGAGAGATTTATTTAGAGAGATTTAGAGATCTCACCCCTCTACCGAGTACATTTCCAGCACAACTCCTTACAATCCAATAGAACAATTTAAAACGTGTATTTTATTTCCGCTGAGTGAGGGGTTGCTATACAATACACCTCTCCTTCAAAGGAAACGCAGAAGGACAGTATTTAATTTGCTAAAGGGAAAAATGACACAAATTTAATAGCGTTCATACTAAAATACAACAACCTTACAGACCAATTTAAATATCAAGACTCAGAAGACCTCAAAAATCCATTGTGAAAGAATAATAGATCCATTTATAATGTCAGCCTGTATTTCACTTTCAATTTGAATATAACACAAAACTGTATTAGCTGACACATTATTGTTTACTAACCTTGTGAATACAGACAAATGCAAGTAATTTCCACTGACAGGCTGACTGGCTATTGTAGTAATTTTGCTTCTGTTTTCACTCATCAGCTCTTCATTCAGCAGAAAAATCCGCAGGTTTTATTTGTTTTGGAATAGCCAATCTGTTGCTATTAATTGTGATTGGCATACTTTAAGCGCAACAGCACGGGGCATTTCAAAAGCTGTCACATTCATTTAAGAAGTCTTTCAGCTGTGGATTCAAAACATGACAAGGTACTCATTTCTGCCATCAAAACATACAGCCAAAATGCTTCTGTATCTTATGCTGAGAGCAATAAGGGAACATGAACTGAGGATTGCTAGTGCTTTGATAGCAGATTCTTTGTTTGGGGCAAGCCAGCACATTCTGGCGTTGACTGTTCTTTCTTTCCTCTAGCTAGGTGAAAGATTTGCAGGCAGGGAGCCTGGTTCTGGACCTGCTGACGGTCTAAAGAGAAAAGAGCCTCTTGGTATATAAATCAAATTCTTTAAGGAACCGTGTAACTTATTTTGATCAAATCAGAAGGAGTTGTTTCTTTTGCTTGTTGTGAAATAGTATTCTGCTGTTTTCAGTAGCAGATTTGGTAAGCTCCATCAGGTTGTATTTTGGCCAGCCTGACTGGTGCTCCGATCAAATTCCTTTAACGAGTTCTAACCTCCGCAATTTTTGATATATCAGAAAAGTACTGTGGCATTGCCTGGACACTTGAATCAGCACAACCAGCCTGGTAGTTTTTAGGGCAGGTGTATGACAACTGCTGAATCACAGCCTGAAACTCTGATTGATCACCTGAGGCAAGCAATGAGTCAGCCACGGAGCATAGGTGAAGGCAATTCTCCTGTGCTGCCAGAAGGGGTGGAGCCTGGCTCCATTTCTCCTAGACCCATTTAAGAGTTGACTACTAGTAAGGAAGAATCTCTTCTGGAGATTTCCTCCTCTGGAGTTTTATAGTGAGCCTAGGATATGGGTTAGCATTCTATCTGTTCTCTTTTGGTATAGTGACTGCTTAGTTAAACTCTCTGGTGTATTTCTTAACTATAGCATCTGTACATTCATTGATTTTGAGTCTACAAGTTCCTGTTACATTCAGAAGCAAAATTTCAATACTTTTAATTGTCTACTCAGAGGTTGACTGTGAAACTGCAATTAGGATTGTACTAGTCTTGTTTATTATGGAAGCTTAAAGCTTAAATTTAGGCTCTGAAACACTTTTACTGAAGAAAG